GTTGGAGCTAAACTCTGAAGGACACCGGCCCTCCAGGACCGAGTTTGGAGACCCCTGCGCTAAACTGTAAAATAGCTGTTCTTCCCCCTGCAGTGATGATGAAAGCCTTAAAAAGTGTGAAGGCATGACCAAGGAGCACAGGATGAAAATTGGATTAGCGTCGGTTTTGAATTAGATAATTGATTTGGCCATACACGTTCATAAAAATGCTTCGAGTGGCTGTTGAATGACATTTTAGTGGTTGTGGTCTAAACTCGTGTCGTGGCTGTAGTTTTTGCAAAGGCCACACACAATAGGTTTTCACCCTGATGGTGCGATGATTGCATTGCGCTTTAAGGGCTCGTGTGTGTGTGTGTGTGTTCAGGCTCAAGTGAGAACCTTCTGGAATCATAGGATTATTTTCACCTTTATTTGAAGAGTCAACTGATGCATGTAGATCCCCAAGTAGAAAACACCAATCATTTGTTTGACTACCTGAGACGGGACAACTATATAAAAAATAAGGCCTATTTTTGTACTATCAATGGTGCATTGTCATTTACATGTAATTTAAAGATTATTTTGGTCTTTTTTTTTTCTTTTTATTTAATTGATGTCAATATGCGAATTATAGATTATACAAAAAAAATAAAAATCTATGCAAACTTCAGCATTTTCCTTTGTGAACTCTTTGTTGTATTTCCTGTAGGTCAGATCAAATCTTATAGTCCACAGCCATGCTGAAAGCTTTAGTAGGTTTTTTTTGTTGTTGTTTTTAGATGTTGAGATGTTCTTGACAAAGGTACATGACACTTTTGAAAGGTTTCTACTTGGAACTGTTTTTCTAAAAAGGTCTAGCACCCTGTTGACTGTTGAGGTTGAAGTGTTGCGTGCATTGACTTCAAAAGGGAGATTTGTCTACTACGCTACATAAAGGATGTATTTGATTGAGAAATGTTGAACCATGTGCTGACTGACTCGACCAGTTTAAAATGTGACTCGAAAAAATGAAAGGAGAACTAAATATTTTAGCCATTGCCTGTTTTGTAGCAAAAAAATGGACTTCCAGACGACTTCCCTCAGTTTGTACAACATTACATCACAAAATGTGTGTAATCCCCAAAAACGTGCTCACTGAAAAAAAAAACCTAAATGAATCATCACTGTCCAAAATATTAAATCATGACAGTTAGATAATTTATATCCTGATTTCTATGTGAGCATTTCTTATTCACTTTGCCTGTATATGCACATACCTTGCAGAGAGAGAGAGAAACCATACAGATCATTGAACTCATTGGACTTTTGTGACGGTATACCCTACTGCAGGGCATATTGTCCCAATGCAACATATATAAAAGCTTCTTAATTATGTTTGTGAGTTATTGCATGTCTACTTTCATGTTTAACGTGCTTTTAATGTTGTATTATTTATAATTAATATTTGTAATATTAAAATAATTGTAACCTATTATAAATGTAAATGTATACGTAAATTCATAGAAGACAGGTTTTATTAAATCATATCTGTATAGAGCAGGTGTTGCCGTGCGTACGCGGTTTAATCCAGTTGAATGCAGTGAGTCTGCGTCCTGCCTGCCGGACTGTCTTCCTGGTTTCAGCTCTTTCGCCGCTGCTGTCATCACAAGAGCTCGTCTGTGGCCTCGCTTGTCTCACTGTCTCCGGTATTTACAGTTTCGACGCGCTCTTTCCCTCTCGTCGCTTTGTTGTAATGGAGAATTAGGTGCTCCGGTCGTCCTGACAGGTACGTTTCGCTGCGCCAGACACACCTGAGGTGAGAATTTACACAATTTCAAGTGTCGACAATAGAATATTCGGAGTTTTGGTTTTGCATAGTCGATCTATTTAAGAATGCCTGTTTGCCTGTTTTATTTGTTTAAGAATACGATTAATCAAGAAATATAATGTTGTTGTTGTAACCATTGACTGACATGTAGAAGAAACCTTCGGTGACGTCACAACGCCATCGCCTTCAGACGATAAACAATTAATTTATTCATTGTTATGGAAGAGTTTTTGTTGTAACATTTGAACGTCTGGGTTATATTTTCGAATCTTTATTAAACCGAATGTGACCTTGTTCATTTCTGTCTTATAATGGGTAAATACAGTACACACATAAAAACGGCTTGTAAAATAATAAAAAAAGTTTATTAAAAAAAAAAAAGTGTTATACACATATATTATATACGCACACTTTTTGTTTTTGTGTACCTATTAATAAGTAATTATACGTAGCTAATAGCTAGTTCAGTTCTAATCCCTGTTGAAAAAAACAGCATATGCTGGTTAGGTATGTTTTGACGCTGGGATGCTGGTTTAAGCTGGTCCTTTGCTGGTTTAAACTGGTCCTTTGCTGCTTTGCTGGTTTATGCTGGTTTAAACTGGTTCTTTGCTGATTTAAACTGGTTCTTTGCTGGTTTAAGCTGGTCCTTTGCTGGTTTAAACTGGTTATTTGCTGGTTTAAACTGGTTCTTTGCTGGTTTAAGCTGGTCCTTTTGCTGGTTTATGCCGGTCCTTTGCCAGCACATGACCAGCATAAACCAGCAAAGGACCAGCATAAACCAGCAAAAG